CACATATATATGGAATTTAGAAAGATGGTAACCATAACCCTATATGCAAAACAGAAAAAGAGACACAGATGTACAGAACAGACTTTTGGACTCTGTGGGAGAAGGTGAGGGTGGGATGTTTCAAGAGAACAGCATCGAAACATGTATATTATCTAGGGTAAAACAGATCACCAGCCCAGGCTGGATGCATGAGACAAGTGCTCGGGCCTGGTGCACTGGGAAGACTCAGAGGGATTGGGTAGAGAGAGAGGTGGGAGCGGGGATCGGGATGGGGAATACTTGTAAATCCATGGCTGATTCGTGTCAATGTATGACAAAAACCACTACAATATTGTAAAGTGATTAGCCTCCAACTAGTAAAAATAAATGGGAAAAAAAAAAAAAAGAGGCTTGTGCCAGCTTCCTGTTGGGATGAACTGGCTGTGGGGAAAACTGGGTCTTGCTCTGGTGGGCAGGGCCGTGCTCAGTAAATCTTTAATCCAATCGCCTGCTGAGGAATTGGACTATGCTTCCTCCCAGTTAGTTGTTTGGCCTGAGCAATCCAGTCTTGGAGTCTACAGGCTCTATGGCAGGGCTACTGGTGACCTCAAAAAGGACTTGGGCCAACACATGCCTCCCAGGACTGTGGCTGCCAGTGCCCCTGTCCCTGCAGCAGGCCACTTCCAACCCATGCCTCTGAAGTAGGCCCTCAACAATGACAGGCAGGTCTGGCTCAGTCCCTTGTGGAATCACTGCTCCTTTCCCCTGGGTCCTGGTGGGAACAAGATTTTGTTTTTGCCTTCAAAGAGCCTCTGTTTTCCCTAGTCCTGTGGAAGTTCTGTCATCAAATCCTACTGTACTTCAAAGTCAGATTCCCTGGGGATTCTCAGTCCCTTTGAGGGGTTCCTCATCTGAACCACAGATCACTACAAATGACCTATTTTCTCAGTTTTCCCAAGGACGGTGTAAAACTGGTACCATTCTAGAATTATAAGGCAGAAATAGGAATGCAGTTGTGTGTGCTAAGTCGCTCAGTCATGACTGACTCTTTGTGGCCCCATGGACCATAGCCTGCCAGGCTCCTCTGTCCATGGAATTTTCCAGGCAACTGGAGAGGGTTGCCATTTCCTACTGCAGGGAATCTTCCTGACCCAGGGATCAAACCCACATCTCTTGTGTCTCCTGCACTGGCAGGCAGATTCTTTACCACTAGCACCACCTGGGAAGCCAGAAGGAGGGAAGTTAAGTTACTACATACAATAGATGGCTTGGGTACTAGTTCCCACTTAACATGACTCAGAATCACTTAGATGGTTTATCAAGACACATACTGCTGGGCTCCACCCTTGGAGTTTGACTAGGGGGGTAGACCTCAAGAATTTGTATTCTGGGGCTTCCCTGTTGTCCAGTGGTTAACATTCCGTGCTTCCAACGCAGGAGGTACAGGTTTGATCCTGGTTGAGGAGTTAAGATCCCTTATGCTACACAGAAGAAAAAAAAAAGAATTTGCATTTTTAGAAATTTTATGCTACTGATACTGTTGGTACAGGGTTAAGGCCTTGAAAACTCTTGCCTCAGGGCAGTAAAATTTAATTATATGGTGATTTTCTGGTTAAGAATAGCCGATATAAAGTATATTTTCATTTTGAAAGGCATTCATACTTCTCAAAGTAAATACAGAAAACAAAGACCCGTAGGAAGAAGCACCATCCCACTTACTCCCTCTATTCAAGACAACATAATTTTGGTCTGTTTTACTGCAGTCTTCTTTTTGCAAATAAATGGGAGTATTCTCAGCTGTTACCTAGGAATTTGTGCAAACACTATAGCAATCTATACATGTCACAGAGGCCAAAAGGCATGGAAAATTCATTTACATGTGGTATGCCAAGACAATAATTTTTCTCAGGTTCCTATGAAAAGAAGTAGTTCTGTCCACTGATAGCAGAAAAAGGGCAGTTCACCAATCCTTTCTTATCAAAATTAGCCTTGTGTTATTCAATTTGAGCAGTCTCTCAGTCACCTAGACCACATATTTACTGATAATATTTTCAACAGTGGTATGTTAGCAATACATTTTCCTTTCATTTCTGAGAATTTTTCTTTTATACTAAATGATAATTTGGTTGGGTCTCAATGACTTCATTTCACAACTTTCTGTCTACTAACTTCTGGCACTTGGTGCAAGAAAGTCTAAAACCAGAATGATTTATGCTCCTTTGTATAGGATTGGCCAAAATTTTCATTTGGGCTTTTCCCTAACATCATATGGGAAAAACTGAACAAACTTTTTGGCCAACCCAATACATAACCTATATCCACTAACCACCCACACATTAGCAGCGCGCTTGGCCTGAACACTTGCATTGTTTCCTAAAGTGTACAATTCAAAAAACCTTACCTGAGTTTTTATCTAGGTGTGCAGCTCTTTTCACAGGTTTTTTTTTTACCTGAAAAGCTGATTTTCCTTTGATTGTACATATCTTAGGTTTGAGAGGGTTTTATTGTTGTTTTTAATTAAATAAAAGAAAGTAATCTTTAATTATGTATGACCATTTGTTTGATTTACTTCCCATTGAATAGTTATTTCTTTGTTGGGTTCCCAGTATCTTTCTTTCATATTCATTACCTCAAAACATTTGGTCTCATCATTCTTATCCTTGTCCTTTCTTGGTGAGAGCTTGTCAAGTTTATTCTCCACAGACACAACCTTCTATCTGTAATATTAAATTTGACTCCTAATCTATGGCCTTCAAAGTGGAATGGCAGGTTCTGCTATTGTGTTTTAGTTTGCAGTCAGCCTTCCTTATGTGACCTGTTCCCCTGTGTAACCTGCTACCCTTTCATCTGAGCCTGTTGTCTCCTTACAGACTATCTTTCCTATTTTATTGGAGCCACATCATTTTACACGTTATTAAGTATGCCCAATGGTTTTTTGTTTATTTTCATTTTTTCCTAGTTCATTTCACATTAACAGTGGGCTCTTTCTTCAGTGCTTCCAATTATGCTCCTTCCCCTTGTTCTGCAGAATTTTTTCAGAGACTTCTCATTTTTCCCATGGTAACATTTCATTGGCAAAAAAAGGCACAATCAACTCAGGCTTAATACCTGCCACTAACAAAGACGCAGATTGCCCTTGATCCTGTGTTGGGGTCCTTTAATGGATCGGAACCTGGTGGTACGGAGTCGACGATAAGAAAGTAAAAGAGAGAAAGAGAGAGGGAGACAAAAAAGACCCGGGGACCTAAGCTCTGATGGAGCAAAGGTGCTTTAATGATTTTTCTATGAGTATATATAGGCTATGGTACAAGTAACTTCTTTCGGGAATGATAGAGATCAGAAAACCAAACGTACAGCAACCGTTACCAAGGGAACAAGGGGTAACGTTAGTCACAAGGTCAGGAGACAATCCATATCTCAAGAAAGGGGAACAAGACTAAGCAGTTTTGTCCTAAAGAGAATGTTTACTAAAGGAGACCCAAGTCTGCCTCACACAGTGACCTCAGTCCCTGGGAGCAGCGTGCAGTTCTGCTTGAAAAGGGACAAAGGACTCATGGGAGACAGCACGTAGGAATCCTCCCGTCAAACATTCCTTAACAATCCTGTTTCTAACCACATGTGCTAATGGAAGCCCTTTTCCAAAATCACGTACAGAATCTAAGCAATTCCAGTGTATAGGGAGTTTGTGAATAGCAGATGCAAACTACTACATACAGAATGGATACACAATAAGGTTCCACTGTATAGTACAGGAAATATACTCAGTATCCTGTGATAAACCATAATGGAAAAGAATATGAAAAAGAATGTACATATGTGTATAACTAAATCACTCTGTTGTACAGCAGAAATTAACACAGTATAAACCAACTATACTTCAATAAAATAAATTTTTTTAAAAATCTAAGCAATACCAAATGCCTAAGAGACCTCATCTAGTGTGTGGTTTTCCTAGAAGAAGGGAGACTTTTCCCAATGACAAAACCTTTGAAACACTTAACAAGTTCAAACACTGAAATTTCACCCTCCAGCTTCCTACCTTCTTAAACCCTCTTTTCCTGCCGTAAAGACCCAGTGTAATGTCTCACTTTAAAAGTTCGTCTTTGTCAGTGTCATACATTTGAACAGTTCTTCTGTAACTATTTCATGTCTTCTCCAACTTCTTATAAAGTTATTCAAGGCCAGTGACATCTAAGACTTATTTATTTTGCATCTGTGTTATTAAAAGGTGTGTCACTTGATAGAAATGTACTTTCTTCTCTGGTGGCTCAGACCTTAAAGCGTCTGCCTGCAATGCGGGAGACCCAGGTTCAATCCCTAGGTCGGGAAGATCCCCTGGAGAAGGAAATGGCAACCCACTCCAGTACTCTTGCCCAGAAAATCCCATGGACAGAGAAGACTGGTAGGCTACAGTCCATGGGGTCGCAAAAAGTCGGACACGAATGAGTTACTTCATTTCACTATAAAGTATCCAAACGCTTTCACTAAGGTGAGATTTTGTGCAGTAGATATAATTTAGGTAACTACATCCTATAAAGTCTAAAAAAACCTCAACATTCCAGTTTCTTTCATGAAACTGTTGAAAGCAATCAGTTCACTTGTAAATAGAAAAAGGGCTCTACATAAGAAAAAAGACTCAATCATTTTTGTCAGCTAAAGCGAAGTAAAAGTTACTCAGTCGTGTCCCACTCTTTGCGACCCCATGGACTACATAGTCCATGGAATTCTCTAGGCCAGATTCTGGAGTGGGTAGCCTTTCCCTTCTCCAAGGGGTCTTCCCAAACCAGGGATCGAACCCAGGTCTCCCACGTTGCAGATGAATTCTTTACCAGCTGAGTCACAAGCGAAGCTTAAGAATACTGAAGAGGGTAGCCTATCCCTTCTCCACTGGATCTTCCTGACCCAGGAATCAAACTGGGGTCTCCGGAACTGCAGGTAGATTCTTTACCAAATGAGCTATCAGGGAAGCAACTTTTTTTGAATACCACTCACATAACAATGAGAGTGAGCAAGCTACTTACCCCACCCATTGTAATTCCATGAATAAGTGCAATATATGGTTTCTGGCAAGAATCTAAAAGAAATGGGAGTTGTAATTAGTTACAATGTTTAAAATACATTTGCTTTTTCCAAAAATCACATGTTACATGAACTGTGAAATATCAAGTAGACTAAATATAAAGCTTATAATACAAACATATTTTTTAAAACATCAATTCATATATGATCCTAATCAGCTATTGTTATTAAATAACTCAATACCTCAATTTGAAACAAATGAAAGCCCATATAATTCAGCTATTGAGAAAAACAATGTTTCCCTTATAAGTCATGAATGTTTATCTAACACAGTTCAGTTCAGTTGCTCAGTCCTATCTGACTCTTTGCGACCCCATGAATCGCAGCACGCCAAGACTCCCTGTCCATCACTAACTCCCGGAGTTTACTCAAACTCATGTCCATTGAGTCAGTGATGCCATCCAGCCATCTCATCCTCTGTCGTCCCCTTCTCCTCCTGCCCCCAATCCCTCCCAGCATCAGGGTCTTTTCCAATGAGTCAACTCTTCGCATGAAGTGGCCAAAGTACTGGAGTTTCAGCTTCAGCATCAGTCCTTCCAATGAACACCCAGGACTGATCTCCTTTAGGATGGACTGGTTGGATTTCCTTGCAGTCCAAGGGACTGTCAAGAATCTTCTCCAACACCTCAGTTCAAAAGCATCAATTTTTCAGCGCTCAGCTTTCCTCACAGTCCAACTCTCACATCCATACATGACCACTGAGAAAACCATAGCCTTGCCTAGATGGACCTTTGTTGGCAAAGTAATGTCTCTGCCTTTTAATATGCTGTCTAGGTTGGTCATAACTTTTCTTCCAAGGAGTGTCTTTTAATTTCATGGCTGCAATCACCATTTTCACTGATGTTGGAGCCCAAAAAAATTAAGTCTGACACTGTTTCCAATGTTTCCCCATCTATTTCCCATGAACTGATGGGACCAGATGCCATGATTTTAGTTTTCTGAATGTTGAGTTTTACGCCAACTTTTTCACTCTCCTCTTTCATTTTCATCAAGAGGCTTTTTAGTTCCTCTTCACTTTCTGCCATAAGGGTGGTGTCATCTGCATATCTGAGGTTATTGATATTTCTCCCGGCAATCTTGACTCCAGCTTGTTTCTTCCAGCCCAGCCTTTCTCATGATGTACTCTGCATATAAGTTAAATAAGCAGGGTAACAATATTCAGCCTTGATGTACTCCTTTTCCTATTTGGAACCAGTCTGTTGTTCCATGTCCAATTCTAACTGTTGCTTCCTGACCTGCATACAGATTTCTCAAGAGGCAGGTCAGGTGGTCTGGTATTCCCATCTCTTTCAGAATTTCCCACAGTTTGTTGTGATTCACACAGTCAAAGGCTTTGGCATAGTCAATAAAGTAGAAATAGATGTTTATCTGGAACTCTCTTGCTTTTTTCAGTGATCCAGCGAATGTTGGCAATTTGATCTCTGGTTCCTCTGCCTTTTCTAAAACCAGCTTGAACATCTGGAAGTTCACAGTTCACGTATTGCTGAAGCCTGGCTTGGAGAATTTTAAGCATTACTTTACTAGCGTGTGAGATGAGTGCAATTGTGTGGTAGTTTGAGCATCTTTGGAATTGCCTTTCCTTGGGATTAGAATGAAAACTGACCTTTTCCCGTCCTGTGGCCACTGCTGAGTTTTCTAAATTTGCTGGCATATTGAGTGCAGCACCTTCACAGCATCATGTTTCAGGATTTGAAACAGCTCAACTGGAATTTCATCACCTCCACTAGCTTTGTTCATAGTGATGCTTTCTAAGGTCCACCTGACTTCACATTCCAGGATGTCTGGCTCTAGGTGAGTGACCACACCACTGTGATTATCTGGATCATGAAGGTCTTTTTCCTACAGTTCTTCTGTGTATTCTTGCCACCTCTTCTTAATATCTTCTACTTCTGTTAGGTCCATACCATTTCTCTCCTTTATTGAGCACATTTTTGCATGAAATGTTCCCTTGGTATCTCTAATTTTCTTGAAGAGATCTCTAGTCTTTCCCATTCTGTTGTTTTCCTCTATTTCGTTGCATTGATCGCTAAGGAAGGCTTTCTTATCTCTCCTTGCTATTCTTTGGAACTTTGCATTCAGATGGGAATATCTCTCCTTTGCTTTTCACTTCTCTTTTTTTCACAACTATTTGTAAGGCCTCCTCAGACAACCATTTTGCCTTTTTGCATTTCTTTTCCATAGGGATGGTCATGATCCCTGTCTCCTGTACAATGTCACGAACCTTCGTCCATAGTTCATCAGCCACTCTGTCTATCAGATCTAGTCCCTTAAAACTATTTCTCACTTCCACTGTACTGTCATAAGTCATGTGTTATCTAACACAGCTGTATTTTAAAGAACATAATTTGGTTTTTATGCATCTAAAGAAGCATCTGGATATAAAGAGAAGCATGGACTGAGAAAAAGCAGGACTGAGAGTGAGAAGACCCAGATTTTAGCCTCTGCTTTGTCATTAACTGGCAGTTCAACAATATTTAATATATATGTTGGTATTAAATACTTACTGTTGTTGTTGTTCAGTCGCTAAGTCGCGTCCAACTCTAGCAACCCCATGAAGTGCAGCATACCAGACTTCCCTGTCCTTCACTCTCTCCCAGTTTGCTCAAACTCATGTACATTAATTTCATGCTGTTACCTAACCATCTCTCCAGTGACAAAATGTGGTCCACTGAAGAAGGGAATGGCAAACCACTTCAGTCTTCTTGCCTTGAGAACCCCAAAAACAGTATAAAAAGGCAAAAATATATGACACTGGAAGATGTACTATGGACAAGAATCCCTTAAAAGATATGGAGTAGCCCTCACAGTCAACAAAAGAGACCAAAATTTAGTGCTTGGGTGCAATCTCAAAAATGACAGAATGATCTCTTTGTTTCCAAGCCAAACCATTCAATATCACAGTAATCCAAATCTATGCCCCAACCACTAATGCTGAAGAAGCTGAAGCTGAACAGTTATATGAAGACCTACAAGACTTTCAAGAACTAACACCAAAAAAAAGATGTCCTATTCATCATAGGGAACTGGAATGCAAAAGCAGGCAGTCAAGAGATACCTGGAGCAACAGGCAAGTCTGGCCTCGGAGTACAAAATGAAGCAGGGCAAAGGTTAACAGAGTTTTGCCAAGAGAACACACTGATCATAGCAAACAGCCTCTTCCATACACAACAGACAGCTCTACATGTGGACATCACCAGACGGTCAATACCGAAATCAGATTGATTATATTCTTTGCAGCCAAGATGGAGAAGCTCTACACAGTCAGCAAAAACAAGACTGGGAGCTGACTGTGGCTCAGATCATAACCTCCTTATTGCAACATTCAGATTTAAATTGAAGAAAGTAGGAAAAACCACTAGGCCATTCAGGTATGACCTAAATCAAATCCCTTATGATTTTACAGTGGAAGTGACAAATAGACTCAAGGGATTAGATCGGATAGACAGAATGCCTGAAGAACTATGGAGAGAGGTTCATGACATTGTACAGGAGGCTGCGGTCAAAACCATCCCCAAGAAAAAGAAATGCAAAAAGGCAAAATGGTTGTCTGAGGAGGCCTTACAAATAGCTAAGAAAAGAAGAGAAGCAAAAGGCAAAGGAGAAAATGAAAGATATAGCCATTTGAATGCAGAGTTTCAAAGAATAGCAAGGAGAGATAAGAAAGCCCTCCTCCATCAATGCATAGAAATAGAAGAAAACAATAGAATGGTAGACTAGAGATCTCTTCAAGAAAATTACAGATACCAAGGGAACATTTCACACAAAGACGGGCATAGTAAAAGACAGAAACGGTATGGACCAAACAGAAGCAGAAGATATTAAGAAGAGATGGCAAGAATACACAGAAGAACTATACAAAAAAGATCTTCATGACCCAGATAACCATGATGGTATCACCTAGAGCCAGACATCCTGGAGTGCGAGGTCAAGTGGGCCTTAGGAAGCATCACTATGAACAAAGTTAGAGGAGGTGATAGAATTCCAGTTGAGCTATTTCAACTCCTGAAAGATAATGCTGTTAAAGTGCTACACTCAATATGCCAGAAAATTTGGAAAACTCAGCAGTGGCCACAGGATGGGAAAAGGTCAGTTTTCATTCCAATCCCTAAGAAAGGCAACGCCGAAGAATGCTCAAACTAGCACTCAGTTGCACTCATCTCATACGCGAGCAAAATAATGCTCAAAATTCTCCAAGCTAAGCTTGGACAGTATGTGAACCAAGAACTTCCAGATGTTCAAGCTGGATTTAGAAAAGGCAGAGGAACCAGAGATCAAATTGCCAACATCTGCTGGATCATTGAAAAAGCAAGAGAGTTCCAGAAAAACATCTACTTCTGCCTCACTAACTTAAGCTAGAGCCTTTGACTGTGTGGATCACAACAAACTGGAAAATTCTTCAAAAGATGGGAGTACCAGACCACCTGATCTGCCTCCTGAGAAATCTGTATGCCGGTCAAGAAGCAACAGTTAGAATTGGACATGGAACAACAGACTGGTTCCAAATCAGGAAAGGAATATGTTAAGTCTGTATATTGTCACCCTGCTTATTTAACTTATATGCAGAGAACACCATATGAAATGCTGGGCTGGATGAAGCACAAGCTGGAATCAAGATGCCAGGAGAAATATCAATAACCTCAGATATGCAGATGACACCACCCTTATGGCAGAAAGCAAAAAGGAACTAAAGAGCCTTTTGATGAAAGTGAAAGAGGAGAGTGACAAAGCTGGCTTAAAACTCAATATCCAAAAAAATGAAAATCACAGCATCCGGTCCTATCACTTCATGGCAAATAGATGGGGAAACAATGGAAACAGTGACAGACTTTATTTTGGGGGCTCCAAAATCACTGCAGATGGTGACTACATCCATGAAATTAAAAGATGCTTTGTTCTTGGAAGAAAAGCTATGACCAACCTAGACAGCATACTAAAAAGCAGAGAAGTTACTTTGCCGACAAAGGTCCGTCTAGTCAAAGCTACAGTTTTCCAGTG